AAATACTCTGAGCTTAAAATACAAAGAGTTGGGCTATTTCTTATACGTGACTACAGTTTTGTGCCAAATCCTGTCGTTGTAATCGCTTTTTGGCACACACAAAATTTTCCTGATTTTCTCACAAGTTTAGATAATCGACTACGCTGAGCATAGTGGCAACATTTGTCTTTGTGTAGAAATGAATATAACTTCGACAGAGGCATTGTTGTGAAAAACCGGTTTTTCGCCTGTTACTATCAAAAATTAAAATACTTATATATCTCGATCAAATCTCGTGCTGACTCAAGGAAATTTTCAGGAAAGACTTAAAAGGTGCCATCCGTTGTCGACCACGCCGAAAAAGTGCCCCAGCAGAACACTGATGCTCTGAGGTTTTTCAGAAGGTTTCTGGAAAACCTTAAGCCAATGCCCAGCTCACATTCACCTTTTTCGTCTTCGATTATGCTTTATGAGCTATCCTGAGCGTTTCCTGAAAACTTCCTTAAGTCAGACTTTGCTTAATTACTGTTTAAAAAACAAGTCTTTAAGCTACAAAATAAGACATTCCCCAACCCTCTACGTTGCTCGGCTAAAGAGTTATCTATCTCACAAAACGTCACGGACTTACGTAAAAGTGGACTTTTACGTCGAATGGCCGTACAGTAGAATTTTAGTCGATTTATTGCCACGGTTATTGCAACAGTACGCGGCAGAGGAAGAAAGTAGATTTGTGGCAGTTATGTTATTTCATTTGGAAGAATTGGTTGAATTGTGCAATACGGTTGTCAAATTACAGATTGTCAATTTCACCTGATCGATTCACACGAGGGAACATGATAAATTTATACTCAGAATTATGTCCAGCTATATCCAATTATGTCGTTTTTGTTCGTTAACCAGCATATCTCCAAACGAGATTTATCGTTTCCAATATTAGCGTGGGATATATCGACGCATATGTGGTGCCCTCACTAAAAATTATGCTGAGCACAGCAGCTTCTTCTCACTGTTTCTTGGATCTTCACTACTTTTTTCAATGTTTTGAACTGCACTTGATAAATAGTTTTATCCGTTACTGCCGCTCTTTCAACTCCAAATGATCTGGCTCTATGAAATGTGTTTGTTACGTAAGGAGATTCCCATACATAAATAACAAAGTCAGATTACCTTATGTAAGATGCTACATTGCATCATCTTATTTCATCATGTATTGCATCATGTCTTATTTCGTCGGATTTTCATCATATTCTACTGGTTCTCACTATAATTAGGCCTAATGTTCTGGTTAAGAGTCAGACTGTAAGATTTTCCTTTTTTTGTGTTTCTTTTTTCAATATCTTCTAATTAAACATTTAAAACCACATCAAATTCGGTGATATAAATCAAGAAATCTCTGATGACAGCAAAGCCTTACAACTATTGTGAATAGAGCCACATAACAGTTTTAATGAATCATTATAGTCATATTGGTGGCAGCCAGCGGTCTCGAACTAGTCTAGGTCGATAGAAGACACTTTGTAGTAACAACCTAACAGTAAAGAGACTATTAACTTTCATACAAAGCGTTTGTACACCGTCGTTTCTTTTAATTACTCGGCACCGAATCGCAATCCGAACACTGATTCAGGGAACCATATTCGGTTCAAATCAATTAGTTATTGTGTTCTGAATGAATATCTACCGAAATGCTTTAAGGAAAGATTCAAAGACTCACCTCGTTTTAATATCATTCCCAGATCAAACTGTTTTAGTCTTTTTTGAGGATAATGTAAAGCATGCTGAATAAAATTACGATACAGAAAAAAGAAACGAGAAAACTATTGTTCTATGTTACGTATGTTGTGTTAACGGAAAACATCACCGTCCTATGACCTTATAAAAGCACCATTTATTTAAGAAACAAAAATAACACAAGGAAGAAGTTAAAAATTAAACAAAATGTCTTTTCAGAAACTCTAGGTAAACATATGAAGATATTTTCTTGACAGTTTAACAGAGGTGCCAAAGACTATTGAAGTTTTCAAAATTATTTATTATGATTAATGAATGAAGAAAATAAATAACAATGGATTGGAAAACAACAGATCTCTTTTCTTCAATGCTTTCATTCATATATTAATTTTGGCGCTGCATGTTCTGGTAACATTGCCTTTAGACTTTCACATGCTTTAGCTCTTAACCAATCAAGCGTCATATCTGTGGCCTGTAATGTAAATATCTTATTACTTAATAAATGTTCATCTATATAATGATATGAGTAACAAACTGTAACTTTCATATTCTGATCCACGTTAGTAGCTACTAGCAAATATGTAGCTGTACCATGTTTTGTACCCACTCTAAACTCCATTTGTTTAAATTCTGTTGCACCCGTACCATCAAATTCAATATTAAGACATAAAGTTTGAATAAATTCTTGACCACCATCGACTTTATCTATTTTTAATATACGACCTAAACCATTTAAGTATCGCTGCCCATCATTTACATTATTTAATACTTTTGAATTATTAACAGCCGTATGATTTTTATTTATACCAGCTTTTGCCCAATCACGTTCACATTGATCAACATTATAGCGTTTAACACGATATTCATTCGACATCTAAAAGAAATTAACTCAAAGCAGAAAACAAAATAACATAGTCAAAGCAAAACAACAGATTCATTTGGAAAATGATCGTATAGTGAAAGATCGAGCAGAAGTGTTTAATAGAATTTTCTTACAAAAACATATGTTTTAAAATCGAAACGTTCAAAAAAACCAATGATTAATACAAACAAAAGAAATAAAGCAGAAAAAAAAGTAAAGAGTATTTCATTTGATTTGTACAATCTTTTTATTTGATTACCATCACGTTAAGTGTCACAAGTTTGAAATCGACAAACAATTTCAAAAATAGGTATTGTTGCAAATGCACGAATTAAAATTGCTAACATAATTATTTCGCCTTTAGCATTATAAAATGGATAATTTATATTTTTAAAAGCTTGTACAGTTTTTATTGTTGTCCATCAATTCATCAATCATTCGTTCTATCCTAGAGCGTAAATCCTTTACCTCACATACGACAAGATGCACATACATTCCGATCGTTAAGAATGTGCGTAGAAAGATAACAGGAAAAATTTTCATTGAACGAATGGAGAGAGAGAAGCG